TTTTTTCGATTGTTCACTTCCTTCATTGATACGTTCTACCTATACCTTTTCTCTCTACTCATATTTCTGCCCTCCCTTTTGGCTGCTAAATCATGGAAGTATTTGGTATGGTGGTCCAGCCACTTCCAGGTTGTGAGGGGGAGTCGTACTGATACCACGATTCCAGCCTCCTGATGGTGTACCCCATGTAGAGAGGGTCTTCGCGGCAGTGCGACCTACGCGACAATAGAATCATGGGGAAAATCCTACCAGGAGGTCGCACTTGTTTGCTGGGTCGCTAGGGAGAAGGGTACGATTGAGAAAATTCTCTTGAGCCACCAGAAAATTCTTCTGGCTGTTGACCCTCCCGCGCATAGACCTCGGTTTAGACCTGATTTTTTCTGATATAACTAGAAAAATCATTGAAAAACTGGGAAAAGTGATAGGTAGAACAGAGAATGGGGATGGTGCCTCAGAGGAGCGCAGACAACGAGAGTTCGCAGCTGCAGCTTATGGTTAGAGCGGTGCGACACAGCGCTCGTTGTAACCACCGGCCGTGGTTCCCAGTTTTCCAATGGTTTTTCTAGTTATCCCAGAAGAAAAAACTATGGCCTAAACTGAGGTCCAGGCGCGGGAGGGTTCATCAGATCGTGCGCGCGATAGTGGAGTACCATTTGGTCGGCAGACGGAAAAGACAATCGTAATTCGCCGTTTCGTCGCGCGACGTTTCCTTGGTCCACACTAGCCTGTCGATTGGAGCTCCGGATTTCATCCAGACTAGGACATCGTAGATATTTATGGCTATTTTTTGTTTACATTGTCTACTGTCAACCTATCCGATTCAGAAACTCGTCATTTGCTGGCGCGACGTCGCACGCGACGCCTATCGCAGCAACTTACGAGTCTCTTGTCCTATACCCCATTTGGCTGATGGTTTTTCGAAACTGTTCAACTACCCTCGGATCGGCCACGATCGGTGCATCATGTGAGATCTCGATTAGTTTCTGGAATGCTTGAATGATGAATACGATGGATATCAGAGTGGCGAAGGCTTCCTCGGTAAACCTGAACAGAGTTGTAGACGAGAACTAGGGTACCAAAAAAGAAAAAAATTGGAGATAGCTACATTTCCTCATGAAGAACAACAATGTTTTTTCAGTCCAGGTCCTTCACATGTGTAAAGGCGCAGGCGATCATATGGGCGGAATCAGGCCTTCTAGTGCGTTTTCGTGACTATGGTGTCCTTTTTCGAAGGTGAAGGCAAGAAGTGCGCCAAGACCAAGTACACAGAGATTTGGCGCAGTTTGTCGACGGGGGGGGGCATTCTGCTTTCCATAGATGTGCCGACCCATCTAGGTAGCCTTTTCTCGAGTTGACACGTTTTAGGATGGTGGCTAGACTATCTTGCACCAGCTTCACAAGGGTTCACAAGTTTTACCAGGGTGAGATTTGTAAACCGGAACTAGGGAAGCAATGGTAGTACAAAATGCCCCCCCGTCGACAAACAGCGCCGATTTCCAGCGATGCTCATGGCTCCGCCCATACGATCAGAGTGGACTGTCTTTACCCGTAAAATTTACAACACTAATCATTGATCCGGAAACAGATAAGTCGCATCGAAATCAAACTTACGCCTGGAATACAGTCGACGCAGAATGCTGACATATCAGTAGGCTGGTGAGGATTATAAAAAGAAAGCTATCCATATTCCGACCCAACATCCGAAAACGGCAGGAAATTCCCAGCGCATTGGCCACTGCAAGTAGTGAGTTCAGCAGCAAAACCTCAGTTCGACCGCAGAGAAGTAAAAGAGGTAAGAGAGGGCAGTTTTTGCTTTGAGCAGAATCTCAGCTGAATAAGACGACTCCCAAGTTTCTCCTCTCGCACGATCTCCTTCTGCTACTGACCAATCATCTCACGAAAAGCTTTCCCAAAAGACAGTGCCAGTCAACCGGTGGGCGTATAATACAAACTAACCAAGATCGAGAAATAGCAAGCTTTGCTGCACCGCAAAAGACCAAGGTTGGGGCGGGGGGGGGGGGGGGGGGGGGCGGGGATGAGTAATGGCAAAGAGTCAAGGCTGAAAAAACTCTAGCTAAATAGCGACGGCCCGAACCCCTCGGTATTTCGGCGTAAATCACCAAGAGAAGTTTTCAGGACAAGGGGCCGCCCACGCCTTATTTACGCCAAAAAAAGGAAGAAAACTTGGTAAAGCAATCGGTGATACGGATAAATGAGATCGATTTTAATGAAAAATCTCACATGCAAAATTCAAAAAGAATCTTTTCAAACACTAGTGTCGGACCCGTCGCTGAAAGGATGTTGAGCGGTTGACCAGAAAAAGCAGCGAAAATCACACCCGATACTCCTCCGCTCACAATCGCCTCCATCGATGCCTCAACGTGAATGATTTAAGTGTTGGAAACTGGAATATACTATAAGTCAAAGGCAAAATGCACACTGATCGTGTGGGTGGAGGCAGTCAACTGTTGTGCCTTCCTCATTGGAGCGTTAATACTTGATATTGCGAAGAAGGACGCTTCAATAACAAAGACGCAGGTGTAGGCCTAACGCCGCCCATATGATCAGCGTGGTTCACGAAGTTGATACTCCTGAAATTCACTTACCATTTGATGATGCAAAATTCGTTCCATCACTGCACCAAAGGTGATGATAGAAGTGATGTTGGCGAAGAAGAGGAAGATTGTTGCGGCAAGAGATTGCGATAATCGTCCTCCAAAGAAATCAGTGTAATCCGATAAATACCACGGGGCTTTCGTCCTAAAAAAATAGATAAAAAGGAAGAGCCACGTAACCGACTTCCACTCCTTTTCGTAAAAGTTCTGCATTCGTGCATAAAATGAAAACCACGGTGCCGCAGAGTACGGTATAGCGATGAGACAAATTGCTCGTTGAGCGAGAATGCGTCTCTTCCTTCATCGTGCCTTCAAACCCGTTCATCGCAAAAGTTGAAGTCCCTCTACGTCCTCACCTCCCATATCGTCGCAATCAGTCGGGGTGGTACCAAAAGAGGCGGAAAGAGCTCACCTTCAGCAGACCTTTCCCACCGATAGTGACTAACTGGGGATGGAAATAAAG